AAAAAAAAAAAAAAATTAAAAAAAAAAAAAGAAAAGTAGCACATTTTCTGATTTGATCTCATAAAATGTTCTGCGGTACAATTTTTTTACACCAATTAAATCATATTGTGCAAGAAAATTTTCTTTAACAAAAATTTTTTACTAAAATGATCATAAATTATTATCATTATTCTTTTATGTAGTTGTTGTTAAGTGGCATCGAGTCATAGACTTCTCATAGCAACTCTGTGAACGAACAACCTGAACACTTGTACAATTTTCATCATTTCTCCATGTTGATAGAGTTTCCAGAGGCAAGCTATTTTGGAAGTGGATGCCACTCCTGCTTCCAAGCTTGTTTTAATTGGGGAGATCCACCAAACACTGCCCACCATGGGTAACCATTATCGCATTTGACACATCAGTGTCACAGTGTTCAGCTTCACAGCAACCACAAGTTACCTCTGTACAGCAAATGGACAGACCAGTGCTATACACTTAGAAGAATGTTTGACCAAAAACAATTAAAACCAGGCCTGAGGGCCACAGATTAAAATCACCCCCCTTTGGGTTGGTAGCATAACTTTCTATCTACTAGGTCAACAGAGCTCTCTCTATGTTGTTGTTAAGTGCCCTTGAATCATAGATGACTCATAGCAACCCTATTAACAAGACCTGAATACCAGTATAACTTTCATTATATCAAATAAAAGGGAAAATTGTGAGGGTGATTATCTCTTACCATAGCCAGCACTGTTGAAGATGCCAGTCACAGTTGTGCAGGAAGAGTTATCTCCACCACACACTCCACATTTGTCTTGTCTGGTCATGGAGTTTAACACGTGATCACAGCCAGCTTGCTACAAAAACACAGTAATACAACCAATATTATAAATTTGACTAACTGTAATCCCAGTGCATTAATATTTACAATGATTATCAACCATTTCAATTACTAAGATGCTCAATTGTGCCTCAGTATTTTACGCATCTGTCCACATCATCATGCACTGGGATGCTAATCAAAAGGTCAGTGGTTCGAATCCACCAGCTGCTCTCAAACACAGAGGAAGAGCTAATTCTGCTTCCTTAAAGATTTATAGTTTTAGAAACTGTGAGTCAGAATTAACCTGATGAAATTTAATTTTCTGATCCATGTGAGTTAAAAAATATTGTGTTTTAAAGAGTTATCAACACTTTTTCTGTATTGGAATCACATGAAGCATTTAAAAAAGGAAGAATTCTAATTTTCTTCATTAAATTCTTTGGAGATAAAAAATAGTGGTCTGTATTACAGTAACACTTGTTTATTATTACACACACTTGATATTTGAAATGGTGTTATGTTAAAAAAACATTTTCAAAGGGAAAAACCATATGATTATATAAGTAACAAATTTTAATAACTCAAAAAAGATCTTATGATTATTTAATTTCTGAGTAAATTTGAAAGAAAAACCCTTGTCCCAAAAGTTATATCAAGTATAATAAATGGTGTTTATTTTTAAAAAGTATATATAAATGAATAAATTGAAAGAAAACTATTTGCTCAAGTCTTTCAAAGAAAAATCACAGTGTCTCTCAAGGCAGCAAATCCTCTGTGTAGTATAAAATAACTCTTTCAGTTCTTTGGAGTATTCCTCAAAATGTAATAAGATCTAAAAGCTATAAAAATAAATTTAGAAATGTTTGTCATGATGTCTTTGATATACAATGAAAATGTGAAAAATGTGCCTTGTATATTTTATACATTTTCATTTTATAATGAAAAATTCCTTTTCAACCAGATATGAAGGAAATACTATACATCTATAGGGAACTGTGTTGGCCTAGTGGGTAAGGAGTTGCACTGCAGATTCAAAGGTAGCTATTTTGAATCCACCAGATATTTTGTAGGGGAAAAACTTGCAATCTTCTCTCACGAAATGTATTGCCTCTGAAAACCCACTGGAGTGTCAACTCTGAGTTTGTTCTGACCCAAAAGCAATGACAGCGATTACACACCTATCTGTATGTTTAAATAGGGAGCCATTATGGCAAAGTCTGCAGGTGACTGTGATGTTAACCCAAAGGCTATACGTTTCTAGCATTTTTAATTCAACAGTTGCTCTAGGGTAAAAGATGGGTATTCGCCTTCAATGTTACTTATAGCCTGAGAAACCCAATAGAAGGTCAGCTATGAGTTGATTGCAACTTAATAAATAGCAATGAGTTTGAGTTCTTTTTTTAATGTTTCAATAACCTTTATTAGATTTGTTTTCATGTGGTCATCTGGTCTTACAAGCAAGAAGCTTGACTACCCTAGGAAAGTCTGCAGTCAAGGAAATCTCCTAATTAATGAATAACAATAATGTTAATTTGAAGATTAAGGTGCACTTGACTCAGGCCATCGTCTTTTTAATAACTGGTGAACACTGATGAGAGCTGGACAATGAATAAAGATGACAAAAGAAGAATCAATGCCATTGAACTGTGGTGTTGAAGACGAGTACTGACTATCCCATGAATGGCCAAAGAATGATTGTCCGGGAGAAGGTACAACCAGAGTACTACTTAGAAGCAAGGATGGAGAAGCTTGGTCTCACATCCTTTGGCATGTTGCTAGAAGAGGTGGTTCTTTGAAGAAGGACATCATGCTTAGAAAGGCAGAAGAATGGTGAAGGAGAGGAAGACCCTCAACTAGGTGGAATGACATGGTGACTGCCGCAATGAACTTGAATGTGTCAGAGATTGTAAGGATAGTACAGGATAGGACACGGCTCGGATCCTTTGTTCATAGGGTCTCTATGAGTTGTACTTAACTCAAAACAATCTAACACATATCTGCTTGGGTAGCAGTTATGGTTTCTTTAGGGTAAATTTCCAGTATGAAATTGCTGGATCAAATGGTATTTCTATTTCAAACTTTTTGAGAAAGCGCCATACAGCCTTCCACAATCGTTGCACCATATTACACTCCTACCAACAGTGAATAAGGGTTCTAGTTTCTCCACAACCTCGCCAGTATTTGTTGTTTGATGGTCTGTTAAATTTTACTATTCCTACTGGGGTGAGATGATAGATATCTCATAGTTGCTTTGATTTGCATCTCTCTTAGAGCTAGGGATTTTGAACATTTCTGCATGTGTTTGTTTGCCATGTGAATGTCTTCTTTGATGATTTGCCTGTTCATATCCTGTGCCCATTTTTCAATTGGGTTATTTACTTTTATCTTGTTGTGGTACTCAAGTATTTTATAAATTCTAGAGTTAAGTCCCTTGTCTCACATGTCATTACCAAATATTTTTTCCCAATCTATGGCTTCCATTTTTACCCTGTTGGAGAAGTTTTTGTATGTGCTTAGGGATTTAATTCTTAGAAGGTCTCATTCATGTATTTTATCCTTTCCTGGTTGTAGGTTTTTCAGGATGCTTGGAAGATTGTTGATGTTGTGGATTAGTACTTCTACAGTTCTTCCAAGCTTTTCTTTAAGGAAGTTTATAGTCCTTGGTTTTAGTCCTAGGTCCATGATCGACCTTGAGTTGGTTTTTGTGTACAGAGTGAAGTGTGCATCTTGCTTGAGTTTTCTGCAGATAGTTTTCCAATTTTGCCAACACCATTTGTTTAAAAAGCTGTCATATCCCCACTTAACTGATTTCATCTCCTTGCCAAAAATCAGCTGACCATAGGTATATGGGCTGATTTCCAGTTTCTCAATTCTGTCATTGTACTAGTATCACACTGTCTTGATCACCAAGGCAGTGTAGTAGGATTTGAAATTAGGGAGTGAGATGCCTCCTACCCTGTTTCTCTTTTTAAGGAGTGTTTTGGTTATTCTGGGCCTCTTTCCATTTCAAATGAAATTGGAGATTGCCTTTTCCATCTCATTGAAGAATAGAATTGGTACTTGTATTGGGATTGCATTGAACATATGAACTGACTTTGGTAGTATTGTCATTTTCACAATATTGAGTTTTTCTATCCATGGATGCTCAAGTATTTTATAAATTCTAGAGATAAGTCCCTTACTAGACATATCATTATCAAATATTTTTCCAAATAGATGCTCACCTATGTTTATTGTGGCTCTGTTTACAATAGCAAAAAGCTGGAAACAACCTAAGTGCCCATCAACAAACGAATGGCTAGAGAAGCTTTGGTATATTCACACAATGGAATACTATGCTGCGTTGAAAAGCAAGGAGCTCATGAGATATTATACAAAATGGGTGACCCTGGGGAACATTATGCTGCATGAAATATCTCAGTCACAAAAGGATAAACACTCTATAGGGCCACTATTGTAAAGTGGAACTGATATCCGAGTTGGAAGGAAACTAAAAGGGGATGAATAATATATACTGCATTGAATGAAATAGATGAGGAGAAAACTGTTCATGAGGACTATATGATTACGTATTATTGTCATGACAAGAGTCCACAATGAAAGTTGCATAGTGGAGTGGACTGGGGAGGGGGACTGTATAACAATGAAAGACTCTTTTTTTTTTTTACTTTTCAAAGAGAAAAGCAAACTCAGGGGAGGGGTGGGCATGGAGGAAAGTGTGCAACAATAAATGAATAGAAATACGAAGTCTGGGTAAACTTTCATAAAACTGAAAAACAAAAAAAAAACCTTTAAGATGCTCAAACTGTAAAAAAAAACAAACAAAAAACAAAAACAAACCTCCAAACAGTATGATACATGTTCAAGAAGATAAATAAATGGACAAACTGATGAAAAAAAGATTAAAAAAAAACCAAACAAGAATCTAACTTCTGGTGTTAAATGAGGCCCTGATAGCCTAGTGGATAAGACGTTATACTGGCAACCCAAAGGCAGAAAATTTGCTTCCACCAGCTTCTCTACAAAAGAAAGATAAGCAATCTCCTCCAAGGTGATTTAGAATTTCTGGAAACCTGCTGGAGTATATAGTTTGTTAGTTGGTTCTACTCAAAAGCACACAATCTAGTGTTAATTTAGATAACATATACTTTTATCCAACAATTTCAGCAAAAAAGGTTATGTTTAATACTACTGCAAAACCATCAAATCAGCCACTAATACGAATATTCTGTGAATGTTGTGTCGAGGATTTATTGTTCAAAATGGCTTTTCTAGCCTTTAATTGACTTCAACTTTCCCATGTGGATGAACGAGAACATGCAAACAGGGTGTGTTATTTATCCACAAGTGTATTAGGCTGTTTTGCCATTAAATTGAGCAGATACAGCAGCAGAAACTGGGAATCTCAACATCAACAAGGAAGAAGAGTGTATGTCCTTTGTGGGCAAAAGAGTTCTGCACCAGCAAGACTAGGAACCATGCAAGAATAACAGTAACCTCAGCAGAAAACCAGAGATCCACCTGAGAAAGTGCTGTCTTGGGACTGATGCTGAGGACTGAGGGTAGACACCATAGTTGGCAGGATTACTGGATCTTTGTAGCACTGACCTAAGTAATAAGGCTGAAAGTCAGAGGACCAGTAACCATGCTTGAGAAACTGTCTGGACTGAGGGACTATACCTTGCTGCCAACATAAGATTTAGTCTGTTAACTTCTCCAATAAACCCCATAACTGTGAGCATGGTTCTGCAAAGTCTGCATAGTGATTGCAACAGATGTCAGACACAGTACAGCAATAGACTAGTGTTGGAATTAGAAAAATAAGCAAGCACGTGGGGGAGGGTCATGTCTGACCTCAAGGGAATTGCTTTTGTGCTGTGGTTGTTGTTGATGGGGACAGTTTCCTCTGCAGAATTCAAAGAGGTCAGATATAGCTATCCTATTGAATGTACCCTGGACTGCCAAGAAAACAAACAGATTCATCCTTTAGAGGGTTAAGCCAGGCTACTCCTTGGAGGCAAGGATTCTGGAGCTTCGTCTGACATACTTTGGACATGTTGTAAGAAGAGGCAGGTCCTTGGAGAGGGACATCATGCTTGGGAGGGTGGAGGGACAGCACAGGAGGGGAAGACCCTCTATTAGGTGGATTGATTCAGTGACTGGGGTAATCGGGATGGGTGTGTCAGAGGCAATGCAATTGGCACAGGATAGAGCAGGGTTTAGGGCTGTTGTACACAGGGTCGCTATGAGTCGCAAATGACTCGATGGCACATAACAACAACAACATCCCTATACCATCCTTGCTTTTTTTACACTGTGTTATTCTCGTTGTTGTTGTTGTTAATTGCCATCAAGTCATAGATGACTCATAGTGATCCTATGTACAAAAGACCTGAGCTGTGTTCATAGAGTTTCCAGAGGCAAGCCATTTCAGAAGTGGATGTCACTCCTGCTTCTAAGCTTGTTTGAATCGGGAGGTCCACTGAGCACTGTCCACCATGGGTAACCATTATCACATTTGGCACAACAGTGTCACAGTGTTTAGCATCACAGCAACCACGAGTTACCTCTGTACAGCAATGCACAGAGCAGTGCTATACCATGTAAAGAATGTTTGACAAAAAATCAGGCTGAGTGGTAAGGAGCTGTGCTGCGAATCCAAAGGCATGAGGTTCAAATCCACCAGCTTTTCTGCAGGAGGAAGCTGGGCCATTTCCTCCCAAACAATTTACTGCATCTAAAAATACTCTGAAATATTGCCACTGATGGGTCAGCTGTGAGTAGGTACAGACTCGGCAGTATATAACAACAATGACTTGATGACACATGGTATCCTATGATATCACCAAAATAATATCTGGTTAGAGAAATAGAGAATTTTTCAAGTCACTGTAAATATAATGGAAACTTAACAGTTTACTTACCCAACATAGACCTTGAACACAGATGTCATTTGTTTCAGTTCCACAAGGAGTACCATCAACAACCTTATCTTTCAACAGGTAGAAGTTATTGGTTCCAGCAACTCGACAAAACAGTTTGCAGCGATCTTTCATAGCAACTGTAAAATAAATAAAATTTGAGGTTTATGTTGATAAAGATAAAGGTCCCTATATTTTTTTAAAAGTGTTTATCAAAGAAATATTAAAATTACTTACTCCCAGTATACTGTGGAAGCCATCTCACATTGGACGGAAAACCTCTGATGTTCAAATGTTTACCATCAAATTCAGAGCATTGCTTTGCACGGAAGTCTAAGCTGTCTTCTGGACATGGATCAGTATTACATGACTGATATTTTGTCTTGAGGCCCACACAGTACTTTCCTCCATTTTTTGGCCTAATGAGATGTATTACAATTTAAAGTACATTAGTACAATATTACTTCTGCTAAAAAAAATCTTCTGCTTTTTTATAGGGTCTGGAAAAACCACTAAGATCTCATTTATATTTTGTTTGTTTTGGATAAAAGTATTTAACAGGCTATAAATAATTCTAAGACAAAATCATGTTAAATGATAAGAGAAAAGAAAAGCGTGGATCTACGTATAATTCTGTATGACTTTTGGAAATAGATAATTTCAAAATTGTTAGAATATAAAAAAACACTTTTGAATATAAAGTATTTAATTTAGTAGCATAAATTTTAAAGTCCATTTGAAGTCTGATTTTATAAAGAACTTGCCACATTTCCACATTAAAAATGCATATAAATAAGATTTTGAGTACTTAAGAATGTCATAAGGCTTACAAACATTATTTATAATTTATACAACACAAATGAAATTTTAAAATCCTTAAAAGACTGTTTTTAAAAATCCTTAAAAGGCTGTTAAGAGAACAAATGGGTTCATCCTAGAGAGGGAAAAAATCAGGCTGCTCCTTGGAGGCAAGGATCCTGAAGCTTCGTCTGACCTACTCTGGACATGTTGCAATGAGAGACCAGTCCTTGGAGAGGGATGTCATGCTTGGGAGGGTGGAGAGTCAGCGCAGGAGAGGAAGATCTCTATGAGATGAATTGATTCGGTGACTGTAGTAATGGGAGAATGTGTGTCAGAGACAATAAGATTGGCACAGGACAGAGCAGGGTTTAGAGCTGTTGTACTCAATAGCACATAACAACAACAACATAAATCCTTTTAATGAGTTAAGTGGGGCAGATCTATGCTTCACTCTTACAACATAATACAGACATACTCAGGGCGATTACAGATCCTGCTGGCACTTCTGATTCCACCACCACAGGTTCTGGAGCAAGAACTAAATGGTCCCCATGGTCCCCAATCACCATCCACAGGACGAGTGTCCATTTCTTTGTTTACACAAAGTCCATGGTAGCAGTGCTATAAAATAATAAACAAAAAGGTCAGAAGACAGGATTCATGTACACCTAATTATAACATTGTATTAATCATAGTAGTAATAAAAAGATCAATATATCAACAAAATGCATAAAATTAAAACTACAAACTAAAATATGTGATTATTTTTCAACATTTCCTGAGTATCTAGAGAAAAACCATAAATTTAGTAGAATGAAAAAATTATGATGTCTTCTTTGCCTTTGTGATTATCATGAAAGACAATATATACATATGGGGGAAAATTATACATTAAGGTGAAAAAAGTATATTTTTAAGAAATAAGCAAATTTTATGGGTGACCCTAGAAACATTATGCTGAGTGAAGTATCTCAGTCACAAAAGGACAAATACTGCATGGTGCCACTGTTGTGAAACTGGACTGACATCAGGGTTAGGGGGAGACTGAGAAAGATGGGATAAATAATGTATACTGCATTGAAACAGATGAGGAAGAAAACTGTTTAAAAGGGTTATGTGATTAGGTATTTTTGTCATGATGAGAGTCCAGCAAAGGCTGCGTAGTGGAGTGGACCTGGGAGGAGGGATTGTAAAACAATGAGAGAATTTTTCTTCTACTTTTCAAAGAGAGGAGTGTACTGGGGGTGGGGGTGGGGCGGTGAGGAGTGGGTGGGGAGAAAAATGCAACAATGAATGAATGGAAATCCTCAGTCTCTGTAAATTTTCATTGAAATTAATAAAAAATAGATAAAATAAAAACCTTGTACAAATATAAAAAGAAAGGCAAATATTCATGCTTCTTGTATAATAATATTGTAATATTCTAATGTTGTATATATATATATATATATATATATATACACACATACTCATTTTCCCTCAAAGACATCCATTCATTGTTTCATATCATTTTCTAGTGCATCTCAATCCAATTCTCAAATTATGAGCTTCTGCCTTATTTATAGAAAATTGAAAAATGCACTCATAATCTCCCACCTCACCTCTCCACCTAATATTTCCATCCAAGAATTCAGTCTTCCTATTATTGTACATGTAGAATAAATTTTAAAAAGCTAAAGTCATTTTGATAATTCTTATCTCCAAATCACAAACATTTCTGGTAAATTAAAAATCAAAATTTTCAATTAAGTAATAGCTTAAATCCATGGATATAAAAAGTCCACAAGAATTTTGATGAAAATAATGGATTTGCGCATTAGCCTATTTCAATGAAAATTTCAGTATTGCAATGAAAACACTGAAAAAATGGTTTTTTATTTTTTATTTTACTGAGGGAGCAGAAACGGCATCCACTTCCAAAATGGCTTGCCTCCAGAAACTCTATGTATGAACAGTGCTCAGGCCTTTTGTTCATAGGGTTGCTATGAGTCGTCTACAACTCAACGGCACCTAACAACAACAACAACAACAACAATTTTACTGAGCGAGCACAGCAGAACTTGTAAGGGTAATGCAAGATAGGATACAGTTTTGTTTTGTTGTACATAGGGTCACTATGAGCTGAAAGCAGTAGCTAACAGCAAATAATTTATGATGGAATTGATGTGCCTAGAAAGTGCACATGATATTTCTTTTTAATTTTACTAGTGAGCACAGCATAGCTTATAAGGGTTCTGCAAGATAGGGTAGAGTTTTGTTCTGTTGTATATATGGTCACTATGAGTGGGACACAGTAGCTAACAACAAATAATTTATGATGGAATTAATGTGCCTAGAAAGTCCATGGCATTTCATGGAAAAGTGATTAAATCTACAGAAAGCTAGTAACCAATACATTCTAAGGGAACCATAGGTCAGGTGATAAAGACATAGTTGAGGTACTATACTGACTTATTTTCAAGAAGTATTTACTTTTGCATAAGAAATTGCACTGCAATCCCAAAGACACATTGTTCAAATCCACCAGCTGCTCCATAGGAGAAGAATGGGCAATTTCCTCCCATATGACTTACCACTCACTGCCTCTGAAACCCCCCTGGAGGTTCAGCTATGAATCAGTTCTGACTTGATGGCATACAACAACAACAAAGTTAACAAGAGAGATAGTGGTTAGTCATATCCTGGGGTAAAGTTTAGTAGATTTGGGTAAATTAACAAATAATGTCAAAATAGTAATAATGCTGTTTCACATGCAGCTTATTTTAGGAGAAAACTTATTTTAATGTATTAGAACCATTAAGGATCTAGAGAAGCCACTTAAAACTAGCAATTATTCTTAGGTACATTTGATGAGAGTATATACAAGTGACTCGATGGCACATAACAACAACAACAACAATATACAAAGAAATATACATAAACTTGGAGATTTCCCAAACTCTAGGACCTTTATATCTGCACTCATTTGAAATACTCTGACAAAACTATGATATACTTAGATAATTATATACTCATGTGATTATTTCTGTAATAATCTATTGGCAACTTTAATACTGAGGTGATACATATTGAAAATAAAACAATAACACTGATGTTCATTCACTTAACAATATTCTCTATCAACCAAACATGACAATGCAATAAATTCACCTGAAGAGGAAAATAAGTTATGAATAGAATGCTCAAACAATAGTATATCAGTATATCACATCCTTGGATAATCTCCTGATACAAAACTCACCCTTGGAAAAAACCTACCATCCCAACCCCACAGATGGTTCCATCTGCCAGTGGCATGTGGTGAGTGATACAGCCTTTTTCAATTCCTTCTAAGCTTGTGCACCAGAGACGCCTGCACTGTTTCTGCAAAATAGAATAAATCAAACAAGCAAGAGTAAAAAGAAAAATTAGAACGACCCTATTCAATTCAGTATAATGCAACCATTTATAAAATTATACTATTTCCTGGTTTTGTGGTGACTAATAGAAATAATCAATAAAAGTCCTTATTAAATAATTAAACTCTTGCTATAATTTTTTTCATTCATTAAACAATTAAAATAGAAGTATTTAAAATAATGTAAGACATTTTTCTCTCCTCTAGAAGATTTTTTAAAGCACTCATTATTTTAAAATATTAATCACAAGGAGTTTCCAAAGCCTCTTTGGATTCAAGAGTGGAACGCATGAATAACGTTCACAGAAACACTGTATAACATATACTGAAGTTTCTTACTTATGATGATGACTTTTCATTTTGGACAAAGAGTTTTCATAAAACAAAAATCTATACAAGATGAGAATATCTATAAGTAGTTCTTTCTCTGAATTTAAATTCAAAGTTTATTTAATATTTAAATCTTGTAGAAAACATTTTCCTGATGACAGCAGCAAGAAAAGTACTTCATGGGCCACCTTGAGTCCAATAAACCTCTGTAGACTACATGAGTCTTCCCTGCCCCCACCACCCCATTTACCACTAGGGAACAGATAATTGATCCTGCTGGCTTTCAGGAGCCTGCATTGCCCCATCCAGCAGAGAAAGTAAAGTCCTGTGGGATGCCCTGACCAGTCAGCAGTGAGGAACGTGCCAGGGATTGTTCCAGTTTCCCAGGGTCTTTTTCTGCTCAAAAAAAGACACAAGTATATCTTACTACCAAGACTTGGGGAAGAAAGTCCTGGACAGTATTCCCTGCATTTTGCCAACACCCTAGAAGCTTTGTCTGCTAAGGTGAAAGTGGTTCCTCCCATTTAGCTTCAGGAATGGACACATGCACACAGTGAGCATCAGCACCAACTGACCAAGATTTGGAGAGGATAGAGTCTTTAGCAATATTCTTGGAGCTTTCTCAGGTCCCCAGGAGCTTTGTCTGCTCAGGAGGGAAACAGTCCTTCCCATCCAGTTGAAGGAGAGGACACGCAAGTGGAAGCAGCCAATTTTGCCTATATCTAGGGAAAATTCTGCCCTCCCATAAAACTGTAAGTCAAGACAAAGAAGTGGAGCCCACCACAGCTGGGCAAAGGAAGAGACATTGGCTGCCTACCCTTCAAAGGACACATGGATAAGAAGGTTGCCATGGGAAACAAGGAACAGAACTGTTGCAGAAAATGGGCAGGGAAGATTGCCACTGGGAAACTGAATCTGGGCAAACTAAGGAACTGCAACTCTACCAATGGCATCATAAATATAAGGAAAGGGCAACTACCTACACAGACACAGCAGAAACTGCATCACTCATACCAAGAAGAATTTGAGATAATGTCAAGGAAGCAGGAGGTAGGATCAAACATTATAAAAAAAATAAAACAAGCCTTCTCCTAAAAATGCAGACCAGATAAGGACCTCATGAATACTTCAGAGAAAGGAATACAAAAGAATTATACTGACACAGAGTTCTAAGAACTGGCATTGAAGAAGTTACAAATGATGGAAGAAAGATGAAACCATTAGTAGAGAGGTATAAGAATATAAAAAAATCAACAAAGAACAGAGAGAGTACGACCAAGACAGTATTACAGTATTAGAATCAACAGAAAAGCATGACAACACAATGCAGAGTATTACAAGAAATATTGCACAAATTTTCAACATGATGGTAGCACCAAAAAACCCCATAGATTAGATGGAACATAGAGTCAGTGAGATGGAAGATCACAAAACTCGAGAAATTATGAAAAATATATTTTTATAATGTAAAATAAACATTTCTCCAATAATGGATGTTTCAAAGATCCCTATCTGTTCCCATACCCAAAAGAGATGATCCAAGAGAATGTGGAAATTTTTGAACAATATCATTTATATCATGTGCAAGCAAAACACTGCTGAATATTCAAAAATAGCCAGAGGGGAAAATTTTAAAAAAATTATGAGAAACAGAGACAGAAATAGGGAACTGCAAGACATACAAGCAGAATTTAGAAGACCCCATGGCATCAGAGGTACCATTGCTGATGTCAGGTGGATCCTAGCTGAAAGTAGAGTATACCATAAGAATATCTATTTATTCTTTATTGACTCTTCAAAGGCATCTGAGTGTATGGATCATAACACACTATGGCTGAAATTGAGAAGAATGCGAATCTCATAACATATAATTGTGCTCATGCAAAACTTCTATCTAGACAATGAGTCTGTGGTGCAAACAGAGCAAGGGAACATTATATGTTTTAAACAGAAGAAAAGTGTGTATCAGAGTTGTATCCTTTCTCCATACCTATTCAATCTGTATGCAGATCAAATTCTTCAATAAGCTACTCTCTGAAGAAGAAAGTGGTATCAAAATTGAAGGAAGACTCATCAATAACCTGCATTATGCAGGTAACACAACCGTGCTTGCTGAAAGTGAAACAACTTGAATTACTCTCTGTAGAAGACCAAAGAACATCCTTCAATATGAATTATATCTCATTGTCAAAACTAAAATTCTTACCACTGCACTGACAAGCAAAATTGTGAAAGATGGAGAAAAGATTGACAGTTTCAAAGATTTTGTCTTTCTTGGTTCCACAATAAACACACTTGGTACAACACTCAGGCAATCAGGAGGCCCATTGCACTAGAAAAGTCTTCAGTCAGGGACTGCAAATTATTGAGGAGCAATGATGTCAGATTAAGGACTAAGATGCATGTGATTCAGGTCATGGTCTTTTCATCACTTGATATGCATCTGAAAGCTGGACAATGAATAAGGAGAACAGAAGACTTGACGCCTATGAGCTGTGGTGTTAGAGAAGAGTACTGAATATCCTATGGACAGGTAAAAAACAACAACCCCACCCCAATATGTCTTAAAGAAATGGCAGGCAGAGTGCTCCTTGGAGTCAAAGATTATACTCCAGGCATGTTGTTAGGAGAAGCCAATCCTTAAAGAGACATAAAGCTTGGGAAGGTGGAGGGAAAGCAAAGAAGACAAAGATCCTCAACAAGATGGATTGAGACAGTGACTGCTGCAATTGGCTTAAGTATGTCACAAAGTGTGGGGATGGCACAAGGTAGAACAGGGTTCAGATCTGCTGTTCATAGGGTCACTATCAGTTGTAATCAACACATTGGCACTTAACAAGAATAATGTATAAAAGAAAAAGCTTTCATAGTGTAGTACATTGTATGCTGGGCTGCTAAACAAAAGGCTAGTGGTTTGAATCCACCAGTGGCTCCAAAGGAGAAAGATAAGTTATTAATATTTACAGTTTCTGGCTGCCATTAGTGGGTTGGTTTTAGAAATCCATTAAATTCTCTATAGAATCAATACAGGCAAAACTATGGAAGCTTCTCAACTATAACTAAATGCAGTGAGGATTATCACTGGTCATGGGACCTTACTACAGCCTCGGAAACATCAAATTCAATTGGCATAACATAGTTCAGAAGGACAATGCTTGATGTTTTACTTTGCTGAGTATCAACTGAGAATTTAAGAGTTTGCTTGTGTCCATGTACAATGCAATCATGCCCTTTGTAGGGGCAAAGAAGAATAAGGACACTTAAATAAACATGAAAGCATTTAGTCTAGAGCACCAATAAACCTTATACTCCTCAATTTCCATTACGCTACTACTGATAACTTCTCTTAAAAAACATCCCAATAGAAAGTCTTACAAATAAATAGTGGGAGATAAATGTAGAGCAAAACTCAATATCATAATAGTAGCCCAGGCTTACTGTACTGTTCTGGCTTACTGGTCTGACAGAGACTGATAGAATCTCTTTTTCCCCCCTTGATCCTGGAATTGAGTTCACTCTTGTGGAACAATTTTCACCCACTCGTTATTTTGTACTTAGGTGTTATCAAATCAGTCATGAATCATAGAAATTCTATGAACAACAGATAAGAATCATACTCTATCCTGTGCCACTTTTATCATCTCTGATATACATGAGCGCATTGATACAGTCACTGTGTCAATTCATCTTCTTGGTGTCTTCCTGTCTTTCTATGAAACCTCCATATTTTCAATACTGATATCTTTTTACATGGATTGGACCCTTCTGACCACATGTTTAAAGTATGTGAGATGAAGTTTCAATATCCTTGCATCTAAGGAGTACCCTGGTTGCACCTTTTACAACTTTGTGGGCAGTAAGGAGACATTGAGTACTTTTCTCCAACCTCACAACTCAAAGGCAACAATTGTTCTTCTGTCATCTTTCTTCACAAATTTCAGATGCTTAGGAAGCAACTGAAAAGACTATGGGTTGCATCATATTCTTTAAACTGGCATCCTTGCCCTTTTTCACTTTGGAGAGGTCCTTGATAGCAGATTTCCCAATGCAACATTTCTTTTGATAACTTTTTTTTTTACCATAATTATTTTTATCTTTTGATTTCTTGACTATTGTTGGGCATTGACTGTGGATACAAGTGAAATGAAATAACTGACAACTTCAATCTTTTCTCTATCATGATGCATCCTATTGGTTTAGTAGTGAAAATTGGGTTTTCCTAGTGAGATGTAATCCATATTGAAGGCTGATCTGCAGCAAGTTTTCCAAGTCTCTTCACTTTCTATAAGCAAAGTAGTGTCATCTGCCTAACACAGATTGAATACAGAATATCAAGACCAAATGGCATAAATTTCCAACATGCTGGATGGACAAAAAAGTAGAAAAGAAGAGATGGAACAAAGACTCAGTGAGATGGAGCACAAGAACCTCAATGGGAACATACTAGATGTAAGAAAAGAAAAGAGAAGAAATATGAAGTAAACATTGGAATTATGTGTGATAACATCAAAAGGAACAATACCCATATGATTGGAATTCCAGTATAGGAGAAGAGTAGGGGAAATACAGACAAAATTGTGGAAGAGGTACTAGAAGAAAACTTCCCAGGTATCATGAAGAATGAGAATATCCACATTTATGAAGCTCAGTAAACCCCAAAACAGACAAGATCTCAAAAGAAAAACATTAAGAAATATTATAGTCAAATTGTCCAAAATAAAAGAGAACAGAATACTAAAAGCAATGCAAGAAAGAAAAAGAGTCCTCTACAAAAAAGAACCAATTAGATTAAGCTCTGAATTCTCAGTAGAAACTATGGTACAATAGATCACAGAGACATAAACTTTGTCAACATCTATGCATCATATGATAAACCTACAGTATAAATAAAGCAAAAGTTATCAGACATAAAGAAAGACACTGAAAGCACCAAAATAGTGGCTATTTTTGTTGGGTACTGTAGAGTTAGAATCAACACAGAACTGACCCTCTGGGAGATTGTCCATCCTTCTCCTGCAGAGTGGCTGGAGTCCTTGAAACATCTGCCTTCAGGATTGCAGTGCAGACTCTAGACACTAGGCCACCAGAGCTCCCTACAAAAGACTTTAACTGGCCACTTTCATCAAAGGATCAACTCAAAAGATCTGAACAAAGATACAGAAGATCTAAAGTATACATATAGCATCTTGAACTTGTGGATGTATTCATGATACTTCACCCAACTAAAGCTAAATTTACTTTCTTTTCAAGTGCACAAAGTATATTCTCCAGAACTGATTATAAAGTGTCAACAAAATTAAAAAAAAATTGAAATAATATAAATTATCGTTTCATACCACAATGCCATAAAATTAGAAATTAACAAGGGGAGAAAGAGCAAAAAATTACCTCTATGGAAGCTAAATAACACCCTAATAAACACTATTGGGTTATAGAAGAACTAAAAATTGGAAATAAAATTCCTTGAAACAAATGAAAATGAAAATAGAACACACTAAAATCTCTGGGATACACCGTGGCAGTGGCAGTTGATAGGCAAAAGTAAAAAAGGAAAAAGCAAAATTACTGACCTAACTCAACACCTCCATCACACAGGAAAAAAAAAAAATAACCCAAAAAAAAACAACACAACAATAATCTAATTTCACAACCTCTAGAAGAAAGGAAATTTTAAGGACAAGTACAGAAATTAACTAGATAGAAAAACAACTGAAACCATTAACAAGGCCAGGAGCTGGTTCTTTAAAAAGGGTCAATAACATAGACAAATCATTGGCAAATTTAATACAAGAAAAGACACAAATAAAAATAAGAAATGAAAGAGCATAATAACACAAACAGTTGAAACTAAATAGATAATTAAAAAATATTATGAAAACGTATATTCTGATAAATTTGAAAATCTATGTAGAGGAAATGGACAAATTCCTAGAAACCCACACCCTACCAAGATTGACAATGGACAGATGTAGAACACTTGAGCAGATGTATCATAAAATATAAAACTGAGCAGGTAATAAAAAGACTCCCTTCAAGAGAAGTCCTGGCCCAGATGGCTTCAAATCTGAATTCTATCAAACACTTAGAGAAAAACTATCACCAATTCTACTTAAATTATTTTTAAAAGTAGAAAAATAATACTCCCAGACTCATTCCATGAAGCAAGCATATCTCTAATATCAAAATCAGGCTAAGACAGTACCAAAAAATAAAATTGTAAATCAATATCTATCATAAATATAAATGCAGAAATCCTAAAATTGTAAATCAATATCTATCATAAATATAAATGCAGAAATCCTTAACAAAATTCTTATCAATAGAATACAACAGTATATATATATTTTTTTTTAATTCATCATGACCAATCTCATCAAGTGAGATTCATAACAGGCATGCAAGGACATGTCAAAATAAGAAAATCAACATAATTTATCACATTATCAAAGCAAAGAACAAGAACCACACAAGTCTATCAATTGATGCAGAAAAAGGGTTTGATAAAATCCAACCTTCTTCCCTGACTGAAACACTCAATAAGATGGGATAGAAGGGAATTTCCTCAACAGAATCAATGGAGAAAGAATAAAGGTATCCCTCCTTGTGAAGACGGATGAGACAAAGATGCCCACTATCACCACTGCTACTCAATATTATATTGGAAGGACTTGCTAGGGCAATAAGACAAGAGGAGGAAGTATGAGGCATCGAAATCAGCAGAGAGGTGATAAAACCCTTGCTATTTGCAAATGATGATACTGTACACAGAAAATTCCCAACACTCATCAACAACAACAACAAAAAGCATGTTAGACTTGGTAGACAAATTTAGTAGAGTGGCAAGATAAAAAATAAATACATAAAAATCAGTGGAATTTCTCTACTGTAACAAAGGAAACTAAGAAAGCAATATCATTTATCACAGTGAACCACAAATTGAGATACTTGTGAATAAACCTAACCAGAAACACAAAAGACCTTTATTTGGAAAACTATAAAACATTACCTTGAGAAATAATAAGAGGCAAAGCTAAGCGGAAAAATACTCCGTGTTCATGGATAGGAAAACACAATCTAGTGAAAATAACAATCCTACCAAAAGTAATCTACATGTTCACCACAATCTCAACTACTAACATAAAATTCATTTTTAAAATAGATATAGGAAAGGCAACTGGCAGTTATACTTGGAAAGGAAAGAGACTCTGAATAAGGACAGCACTTCTGAAGAGCAAAATAAAAGTGAAAGGCAAAAAAACTTTTGATCAAAAATTTTGCTCTCAGAACTTACAACACAGCTGTTATAATCAAAACAGCATTGTATTAGTGCAATGATAGACGCATAGACAAATGAAACAGAATTGAGAATCCAGAAATTAACTCATCTACAGCAGTCAAAGTGGTATTCTACAAGAAAATAAAACCTATCAAATTGGGAAATGACAACCTCTTGAACAAATGATGCTGGTAAAACCAGACATGTAACTGCAGAAAACTGAATCAGGATCCTTCTGACATGACACACAAAATATCAACTCAAAGTATGGGTATGTCAGAGACCTAGGGATAAAGCACAAACCCATAAAGATCATAAGAGACAAAATAGGACAAAACTTAGAAGGAGTAGCCTATGGTACAAAGAGGCTGGCAGATACAGCCAGAAATGCATAACCAGAAGGAAATAAAGTCAATGAATGAGACCTTCTAAAAAAAATTGTTTGTGTACGTCAAAAATTTTTCCAATAGAGTGAAAAGAAAACCTACAGACCTAGAAAAATAATTCTGAAGCTTCATCTGACATACTTTGGGCATGTAGCAAGGAGGGACTTGTCCTTGGAGAGGGACATCATGTTTGGGAGAGGGGAGGGACGGCACAGGAGAGGAAGACCCTCAGTGAGATGGATCGATTCTGTGAGTGGAGTGGTGGGA